AGGACTGATGTCATGGAACTATGGATCCAAGACTATTAAGGAGGTTACCAACCTCTAGTCCATCAGCATGGATAACATTCAAGTTACCATCAATTTCAAAGACTGGTAAATCCAGAAGCATTCCCCAAAATATGAGCATTCAAACAGTGAGGGACTTGATATTTTTCAGAGTGTTCAGAGGAGGGTCCAGGTTGATGGTTTTATTCTGATAAAACTCTAGAATGTACCTGAACAGTCATAAAATCCTGGGCCTTATTTGACTCTGATATTCCTATGTGTTGTTTTAAACTAGTAGAAAATTTCATACTTTGCCCTGAAACATTATCATCCCTTAAGAGAGAAAAGGTGGGTTGAATGTGGGTGGGATGTGATCTGAGACAACACCCTCAATCAAACTTTGGAGTGGTATGTTCATGTACTGTTCACTGTTGGGATTGGAACATACACACATACACACACACACACATTCACACTCCTCTGTATAATTATAATAGTAAAGGATTTATCTTATGTTGAGATCACTCTTCCTGATGATAGAGTAGAAAACTTCGACGGTCAACTCCTATAGCCAGGAGATATCCTAGGGTAAAACAAAAAAATATGTAAGTGAAACAGTGGAGAAAATGAATGGCTTTTCAAAAGGAGATTTTGTAATTTTTAAAGATAGTCTAAGATTGTAGTTTAGGTATTAGCAAATGTTACAGACAGAAAAGGAAATGTCTCTCTGTGACACAAAACACAAGTTGTAGTCAACTAAAATATAGAGGAGCAAACTCAATGGCTTAAATACTTTCTTTTTTTTTCTCCAAGGCAATAAACATTATGCCTGAGTTATATTCTCATTAAGTCACTGAAAAATGCGCTGCCACAGTTAGAACAAAGACCTCTGTAATCAGTGAAAGTCTCAAAGGTACCTCTACATTTAGAAATAATCATTTACTCTGTCAAATTAATAAGAAATTAATGGAGGGCAGACATTACTAAGAAAGAATGAGTAAAGGTTTGATAGCTAGATGAACAAATAGAATTAAATAATATCCTGTGTACTTTTTTAAAAAGATAAACAGAAGGATAATCTATGGAATCAGATTATTTTGAACTTGAGTTATTTCATTCTGAAAAAGGTGATCCAAAATAAGTATGAAAGTAAGAGTCCAAAGGAAGAGGCAAATTCTGCAACTCTTTTTTTTACATAAAACGTTCACTAAGCCAAACATTTGAATATCTAATTAAATAAGTTCAGGTCATTTGTAAATTCTGCTGACATTTACAGAGAATTTGGAATGCTTTAATGTTAAACCTCAGATTTAGTCCCCTGTGTCTTGAATAAAAAGAAATAATAAAACAGGATGGACACTCCCATGGTTTCAGAAGATGCTGATATGGAGAAGTTGACTCCTTAGGTAATGTAGAAGAATGCAATACCTGTTTTTAGTCCACATGGCTTAATGTGAAATATTAGGTAGCTTTCATTCCCAGCTCTCGTGGGCTTCCTTCTATTTTCAGTCTCAGGGACACCTGTAGGCCTCTCTGGTGAACATCGTCTAAGTCTGCCAAGCTGGATGAATTCCACAAAACCAAATGTGTGTAAGAAAGAGTGCTCAAGGGCAGAAGGTCACAGCAGCAACCTTGGTCCCAAATTACATTGTGTAAAAGCCAGGAGTTACCTCACAGGATGCAGGCAGATTCCTTTCTCATTCTCTAGAAATGATTCAACCTTGAATCATATCTGAAACAAAGCACTGAGAGTGGGTTCCTTAGCTGGGGTTATGGACTTTCTGAAATGGTAGGCAATCATCTGGTAGTGTGGCCAGTCAGCCTCTCTGCTAGGGACAGGAACTATGGTCTCTGAAAGGACCTTAGTGATTAATGAACACCCCCTTTCTGCTGCCAACATGACCACTCAAAAATCCTACTTGGATACTTTCTTTGGTAGTTTTTGAAGTCAGTCATCATTACTGAGATGGTATTTTTTGGTCATGTATAAATATGCAACAGTCTTGGTGATGTATAAATATAGAACAATTTTTTTTTGTGATGTATAAATCTAGAACAGTCTTGGCTAATCTGAATTGAGTTATGTGATAAATGTAAATACTGGATTTCAGACTTCATACAAGGGTGCAAAATCTCATTACTAATTTTTATATTGATTACCTGATACATTGATAATGTTTTTGATATATTGGGTAAATAAAGTATATTATTAAAATTAATTTCACCTGTGACTATTAAAAAGTTTAGTATTACATGTGAGATTTGAGTTACATTTTAGATGGATAGTGGTGACTAGAATGTGCAACCCCACATATGCAGAGATTCTGAAAAATGAAATAATCTTTCAGTAACTACTAGAAGGCATTTATCTTTTAAGGAAAGGGAAGGGAACTAATAAAGTACCAAGCCCTGAGCAAAATGTCTTACTCATATTAATACACCACATTCTCACAACTCCCCTATGAAAGAAATAATATTGGCTAAGAGAATTCCTGAGAAAACAAAAAATGGAGAACTATTTCCCCTGACTTTAATTCCTGAACCAAAAATGACTATCCATTATTTTAATAGCAACAGTTATGTCTTTTAAAAGTTAAACTAAATTAGTGGAATAATGGTTAAAATGGTTGAATACACTAAAAATAAAATGGTTATTTCCCTAGGCTCGAGTCAGACATACAGAACTGTAATCAGGATTCAATCAGCAGGTACCTGTGTGTCCTGACCAAGTTGTTTAGACGCTAAGCTGCAGTTTCTTACACTTCACTACAGATGAGAGAATGAATTGAGACAAATGTATAGCACTGCTCTGCCTAGTAAATACTCAGTAAATACTAGTTTATATTGTAATTGGTGCTGTTATTGGGAAGAGGTCATGCAGATCCAAGGTGCATTTCTTTGGAGCAACTTAAAAGTTGAATAGTTTAGGGACCTCTCTGGTGGTACAAGGGTTTAAATTTCAACACTATGAAGCTATCTCCAGCTACTGCAGCATGAGTTTGATCCCCGGCCAGACCTCTCCTGTCTCACCCGCTGCTCCCCTCAGCAAGTCTATTTCAGTACATCTGCCTCTTCTTCTCCCCACTTTGTCTCTGGTGAATCCTCTCACCCCACTCCACCCTACCACACCTCTGGCCTATACTCCAGTTCTTGCATGCATAAATAAGTAAAAATAAATAAATAAAATAGTTGAATAGTTTAGGTCATATTATTACCCTGTGAGTCTCTTTTTCCATCTGTAAAATGAGACTATTTTCTTACTTTGTAGAATTTCTGAGATGATTAGTGCTATCATTCAGGATTCTTAGCACAGTGCTTGGCACTGTGGTTGGCATAAAGGCCAATATCATGCAATTAATATAATTATTTCCTCCCTCTGACTGCCTTTGTACGTATGAATACATAATGTAAAGAGCATAGGCTCTAGAGTCAGGATCCTTGGGTTCAAGTCTAGGGTCTGCAGCTTTCTAGCTGTATAATATTCCATAATTTAGTTAGCCTCTTTTGCCTCTTGTTTTCTGATCTGCTAAATGGGTTATTGCAAGAGTTCAACAAATTAATCCATTTAAAGAGAAGATGTCTGGTATATTGTAAATGCTTAATAAATGTAAACCATCATTTTAATACCACTGTTATTGTCTTAATTTTTTATGCATTTCTTCTCCTTTCATACTTTGTTCTCTTTCTCTTTTGAATTCTTTTTAATATACTCATCATATTTCCAGGGATACTTGTGAATATAATCTGAATAAATTGGTGATACTTAGAACTAAAATAACTGCCCCAATCTTGATCAGTCTGTTTACATTATAAAACAATTTGGAAGAGGGCCTCCCCGGTGGCGCAGCGGTTGAGCGCTGGGTTGCGAAGCTGCCCGCAGCCTCTGCAGCGCCGGTTCGATCCCCGGCTGCTCCCCGGCCACCGGAGGAGGGTCCCACATGGCGCGCAGACCTCTCCTGCCGCCCGCTGCTCCCCTCAGCAGTGTACTTCGGTCCTTCTGCCTGCTCTGCTCCCTGCTCTGGCTCTGGTGAATTCTCTCACCCTCCCGCGCTTCTGACTGTACCCAGTGCTTGTATAAATAAATAAATAAATCTTAAAAAAAAAAAAACAATTTGGAAGAACATGGTCCAGATACACATAGAGTTTTCATGTTACCCATTATTTTCAAGTTAAGTTTTATCAGAGAAATGGTCAAGAAGTACAGATTCTGAGAACATTTTTTTAAAAAAATCACAGAAATTTGTAACATTTGAAACCCAAGAGGTCAAGAATTATCACTGTTGCAGAGATTTCTAGACAAAAACTTTCAATCAATTTGCAGAGTTTTCACACAGGTGAAAGTATGTAGCCTCCAACAGAATCTTTATTAATGGGTGTGATGGAAGTAAAGAATTGGACTATGCCTTATTTGTCCTGGTTCCATGTTGTTCAGATTGAAAAATATTGTTAGGAAGTAAGTAGTGAAGTTGACTAAGTAACACTGAGACCGGTATCTTATTGGTAGGAATCTTAAAAATAAGATTCTAAGGTATGCAGCTCTAGAATCTTAAAAATAAGATTTCAACCAACCTTTAGGTAAAAGCAACATTGACTTATAAAACCTTCTAGAAGAGAAGAGTTTAGAAAGGTTATGCCTTTTCCACTACTTTTCTTTTTTTTTTTTTTTTTTTTTTTTTTTTTTTTTT